GCCCTTTAATATGAGGAAGGGAGGGAGGAAATTAAAAAATACGTAGGTATATAGGAGTGCTGGTGGTGCAGTGGTTAAGTGCTCTGCTGCTAACCAAAATGTTGGCAGTTCAAATCCATTAGCTGCTTCTTGGAAACCACGTGGGGCAGTTCTCCTCTGTCCCATGGGATCGCTATGAGTCGGAATCGACTCGACTCGACTGCAACAGTTTTTTTTTTTATGTTTTGTACATGCAAAGAAAAAGGTCTGGAAGAGTTCACAACAAAATAACAGAGTGCATCAGTAAGGAGCACGGTGGGGTTGAGGGAGTAGCCAAGAAAGACTTTTATGTTTTTTGTATATTTTGTTTTTGTTTTTGTTTTTTTTTGGCAACAAAAATATGTACTTCCCAGTCTCCTCTCCTGTCAGTCTTACTTTTGTGCCTGTCATTTAAAACTTGCTATTCTTCAAGCATGTGATGGTGTTTCACATCTCCATGTCTTCGCACACGTCATTCTTTTTGCTTGCAGTGTCCTTTGATGCCTTGTCTATCTGGCATATTTCTGCTCATCGTTCAAATCATTCTAGATTCTGCTTAGACGTCATCTCCACAAGACCTTTCTGATTATCCTTTCCCTCCTCCAGCCTCCAGTATTTGCTCCATCAAGTTAATACTTCTTTCATGACTTCATTCACTTTATTTTAATTATTTGTAGGTATTTCTGTCTCCCTCACTAGATTGTGAGCACTTTGAGGCCCAGGAGCATTTTTGTTGTTATGGTTGTTTTTTAACCTTTGGAGCCCACGGGCCTAGCATACTACCTGGCACATAGCAGGTGCTCAGAGCCTTTTTATTCAGTAAACATCAATGGATGAGTGATGTGATTTCTCTTCCCTTACAATTGCCTAGTTTTACATAAAATCTATACAAATGTCATTTCTGATTTTCCCAATGGCATTGAAAGCGTGGTCTGCTTACTTTTTGGTATTTTTAACTTTAGTTCATGCTTTCATATTCTGGATGCTTTTCTTTGGCTGTTGAACTGTACTGTCACTACATCTGTAGAGATTCTGGAATGTTTAGCCTGACAAAAACCATCTGACTCTTTTTCTTTTTAGCACATTCTGTTTTGCACTGTCATTTTCTTTATTCTCCTACTTTCTGCCTCATTCTCCATCCTTGAATGTGAACATCTGCTTTTATTTTCCCATTTGCCTCTGTTGGAGCGAGGGTGGTCTTCACTTGATTAATAGGTATATCACCATTTCTTTGTCTTTTTTGTTTTTTGTTTTTTTTTGGTAGGATGTCAACGCTCTTCTCGTCCAGGCTTGCCGACTGGTGCCTCTTAGTCAGAATCATCTTGTCAGCAAAGTGTCTCAACTTATTCACCATTTACTTAACAGACTACAGGTAATCATCTATGTAATTTTAGAATGCAGATCATGAATTTTGATAATAAGTAAATACCTTTTGAAATACTACATCCATGGGAGGTATGATAGGCTGGTCTTTTGAGAAGCTATAGGAAAAGCAAAAGGATGATGCTAAAACAAATATAACTCTGACTAAAAACAGTTCTTCACAGTTCTTGAAGTTTGTCCATTAGAAGCATTCCTTTCTGTTGGATTCAATAAAACAATGTCATCCAACACTGCCCCCCTCCCCGGTCTTAGAATTTTTCACTGAAGATCTGTTTGACCGAGTATATCTAAGAATCAATTGAAGTGATCCCACCCCCACCCTGTCAATATTTTTTTCCCTTTTCTAAAGCCACCATTTTTGTGGTCTACTGTTGTTCTTCATAAAACATAAAAATGGCTTGGGGGAAAGGGAACACTAGGATAAAAAAAGACCCTAGTTATTTATATCAAATTGAATATAAATAAATTCAATATCTTTTTAGGAACAGTACAGAAATGAAGACATGAGATAATGCATGTGAATGCAGTTAAATGCACAAAACACATTAATTGGATACTGTATCAACTAGGATGCTTTTGGCTGCAAGAAACAAAAAAATCCAGCCCATAGTAGCTAAACACATTTAAAAAAAAATTATGTTACAAACCCTAAGGGAGGCTGTTCTAGAGGCTCACTGACATCTTTCCAGTCTGCCATCCTCAGGGCGAGGGTTGTCCTTGGCTAGCCTCTCTCACCATTATCACATACAAAAAACAAAATGCCATCCAGCAGAAGCAGAGGAAGTTTGTCCCATTAACTTTGTAGCCAGCCTCCTCTGATACCTTGATTGGGAGACCTGGGTCACGTCAGTTCCTCTCTAAAGCACTCTCTGAGTAGGGGAATGGTATTACCGTAATTAGCCTAAACCTGTGGTTTCAGCCCTGGCTGTACATTAGAATCACCTGGGAGATTTAGGCTCCCTAGATGATTACAATGTGCAGCCTAAGTTGGCTTACCTCAGGGTTGCTCAGCCTCAGCGCTATTGACAATTTGGAGCGACAGTTCTTTGTTGTGGCAGGCTGTCCTGTGCATTATAGGATGTTTAGCAGCATCCTCAACCTCGAACTACCAGATGCACGTAGCACCCCTCTAATTGTGACAACCAAAAATGTCTCCAGATATTGCCAAATGTCCCCTGGGGGAGAAAATTGAGAACCATTGTCTTAGACTAATTAGAATTTACCCATGGGTCTCATGTGGAAGAGGTGGGCAGCCAAACAAAATCAGTGCTCTGCAGGGAAAGAGGAGACAGATGCTGGGTAGGTAGCAGCAGTGTCTGCTGCCACATGTCACTTCCTAAGTGAAACCAGGCTGTATT